TTTATGGCTCAAAATGAATGGTGAAAATATCCACGTATTCTACATCACTGGACCTTCTCGATAGAAGGCTGACCTTCCGTTGAGAGGGGATGGCGAAGGAAGGTCCGGATACGAAAAGCTGGCCGGTCAGGCCGAGATGGGATATTCTAATTTAATATTTGCGTGAGTGTGCCTATACTTCCCAAGAAATGATGGAAAAATTGGAGAGTAGGATAAATAGGGCTCACGGTACGAGATGTAGGCGGACCAAGCCTAATCTGGAAGATAGTAGCAAACCTAATCAGGAAACAAATCTTTGACGTTTGCATGCAAGAGGAATTACTCATTGCAAAAGAAAGGTAAGAGAGTGGAAGGCTGAGTGGGAAAAATGGCCCAAAAGAGGCGTAACATAACGTGTGAAGCAAGTAAATGCTATTTTTAAGTACATGATAAAAAGCAGTGTGAAGATGGTCCAGTAACTTTAAGATGGCCCTTGAATTCAAGATGTCTATTCCCCAAATTCCGTTGAGATTCAGGTTGTCAGTGTGGGTAGAATTTGCGGAAAATTCAAAGCAATTTACAAATAAAGTGAAGATCACATTCGCGTGGAATTATTTACACAGCAGTGTGTACAGATAAAACAAAATGCCGCACTTACGAATCTTTTGAATAGTAAAAATATAAAGGTTTGATAGCAAGCCCAACCATTTAACGAGAATGCTATGATACATTTGGATGAGATATACAGGACAAACTTTTGCTTTAAACGCAAAGATTCAATGATTTCGAGGAAATCACGGAGACTCGGCAAAGCATCCTTAGGCTTAATAAACCTAACATGATGACATGAAGAGCATCAGAGTAATGAGGTAATGAAATATTTTTTAACGGAGTCAGATTAGGAGCAGGGGTATGCGGAAGCAGGCGCAATTACCCAGATGCCGGTTGAATGGAGCCAAATATTTCAGTTTTAAAATTCGTTTCTTCAGGCTTCGTAATCTCAAATGGTCGCCTATGTCAGGATGCAATAGAAGTTAAAGAAGAACTAAACTTTGACAATATGTGGTGGTGGGGAAGTAAAAACAGTAGGTAAGCACAAGAATAAAATGCGAGGCATGCTCCGAAAGGTAACTAAAGAGAAAACAATAATGTAAATGAATACGGGAATGAAAGCCTTCCCGAAAAGTGGATATAAAGCATTAAAACATATATATATATATATAAGTACTTATAAATTCAGACCAAGAGATAGATATTGGAGGATATAATGAATAGTGTATGGGGTGATATTTTGATAAAAGAGTAGATAAGTATGAATGGTGGGGAGAAAAATTTACTTGCAAATAATTATGTCACCTTTAAAAAGCTCATTAAAGCAAGATTCTTTCAAGCTCGTGAAAGGAACATTTCATTTAGCCACGTAGTAGGATGAAGGGATATTTATATAATAAAAGCTCTTGATAAAAAATATAGTCAATTCCTATTAACTTGGTCTAAGGATGAAGGAGTATGAAGATGGGAGGTCTATTCTGCCGAGATTGTTGTTGCGAAGACATGCATTTTTAGCAGATGTAGGTATGCTTAAGGAAGATGTCGCAGGAAATGGCAAAAAAGTTAGGATTAGGCCGGGTCCAGCTCAGATGTCGATTGGCGAAATGGTGGTAGAACATGGTGGGGCCTGTGCCCGCGACACGGCCGGTCCCTCGGAGGCTTTCTTCGCATCCAGGGCGTCAGGTTGATGGGGGGGAAAATGATTGGGAAGCAGCGCTGGTCGAATCAGGTATTCCGGATTGCTGACGCCCAGGTCACCACCGATGATGCTGGATGCTGTGGGGTTCGACAGGTTGGCGAATGAGTGCCCTTCCAGACTACTGGATCCAGGAGCTGAGTCAGCCTGGCCAGTCTGGGATCGCAGATAGCTGTGAGGGAGGCTGGAGCCGTACGGAGCCAAGTAGGTGGCTGGGAGAGAGGATGTTGGAGCCAAATGAGTAAGGTGGTAAACACATATAACGCTTTATTCATTTTCACCAATTCGTTAAATTTTGGTGAAAAGATCACCCCTTATTAGCAGATGAAGAGGAAAACCCAGTCGACAGTTGCTATTTTATGCCTAGTTAAGGACAACCGTTGCTGGTC